CTGTTTTAAGGAGGAGTAAGGATTTAAAATATTACACAATTCACAACGCAATGTAATTCATCAATGCTGATTTAAAATGTAATTTCCAGTGCTGTAATTGGGTGAAATGTTTTGTCAGTGAAATGAGGTGAAGCAGCAAGTGAATCTCATGCATGTGCAGATCATATTTGTCCCCTCTTTAGTTTCCTGTTCTTTTTAGCAGACTTTTTGAGCCTCGAAAAGCATCTAGTTGCATTGCACCTTTACTGAAACCTATTGATGCTCTCACCTTCTACATTTGTTTTTGTTTACAACATATACAACTTTTAACTTGCAATTGTTGCTAAAAGTTTAAGTTCACTTCAGAATCATGTATCAATGCACCTTTGGCCACGAAGTCCATAACAATACATCACTAAACCAATATTTTGAGTATAGCCCTAATTCAAACTGCCTTTAAAGTGACGCTTTCTGGTGAGAAGTATTAGTCAAACACAGCTCGTAAAGTATCTTTGAACACTGGCTGAAGAGAAAGCTGGAGTGACGCTGGCAGCAGTCGAATGATATCGGTTTCTGCACAATAAAGTCTACAGTCATGAAAAATTTAACAGCTGGCCTGGCACTGAAGATCGCACACTCAAAATCAGCTGCTACCGCTGCAAATAGTGGATTTTTGAAGCATTGATTGAGTTCAGCATTTATTCTCCAACTTACTGCTAAGGTCAGTGCTTTGGGAAGTTAATGGCCAGAAGTGAAAGAGGCCATGCACTTTGATGACGGTAAGAAAATGTGGAAGGACATTTTTGCACTGAGAATTGTAATACTGTACTGTACTGTAAAATTTGAAGCTTGGACAATTGTTACTGTACTATTAACATACAAAACTTACTAAATAAATGAATGGAAAATCCTATTGAGGCAAATATGTTCATGTGCTTTGACATTACATATAGACCTGGTGTCTCAAACCTTCTTCACCCAGAGAGCTACTTTCCCGGATTTCCACTACAGACGATAAAGGCAGAGAGCTACTCCTTTAGGCGGCCCTGGGAGGAATCTGGTGATATTGGTGTGAAGGAGCCAGACATTATTTATCGTGGCACATTTGTTACTACTAGTGCATAAAGTAAGTACATTTACAATAATAAAAAGTAAATGTATATAATAAGTTATATTGAATGATACTATCAGGAATAGTAAGTATTTGATTTGATTTGTTCATTTCTAAATCCTTTGTTGACCTACCGGGAAAGGGGTGGCGAGCTACTGGAGACCCCTGAGATGGAGACTGGGCCATTCCTTTTGCCCTTTATGACAGCATCAGAGACAGAGCAGATCATCTTACAGCTGCTCTGAACAACCATATTGTTTTATTGGTTCCACTTCCACACTTTGTTTCACTTTATAGTCCAGATGCGAACATCAAGCCTTGTACACATTTTTCTGTACCACCACAATTCTTGCAGACTTAAGCCATATGGCAAATTACAGATCAGTTACAGAAAGATGCAAGATATACAGCAGTTAAAAACGCCTTCCCACTTCTCAGTTCTCCCCTCATACAAGTCAAATACATGGCTTTATAATGAAGCCGTTGACATTTCAAGAATTTCTGTATTATAATTATCAGCATTTTTGATTGTTGCACAGTGCGATAAGCCGATCAAGGGGCATACAGGAAAGGCTAAAGCTCCATTGCAGCAGCTCACACGTCCATAATCCCTCTGTGAATCACCCCTTTGTCCAAGTTTGTCCTCCATCGAGCCTTCGCACGGCCATACAACAGCAAACTTTAACATAATAAATAACTTTTAGGTGCACTTTTTCCTCATGCAAATCTGGGACGATTCAATAATGAGTATAATTAGCATCCATTTAGGAGACCACTTTGTTCTGTTCTGAAAGAGCCGCCAGAGATATTATAGTGTTAATACAATAATTCAACTTTGGCTGCACGCTGGAGACAAGCTGCTGCTCTTGTGCCATATTAATGACTCATTTATGTCAATGACCGACTAATGCCATTTAAGTCCATGACAAATGTGTTGGTGTGCGATTGCCAAAGAAACAATGGCTAAACACATCATGGACCAGGGATTACAAACTAGCCTTTCTATCATGATTTTAGTTTTATTGTGTGATAGATAGCCTCAACGCTGCCCACATTTAAATAGGGATGCATCGATATTTAATACAGTTGATGACGTTTCATGATGCAATGGGATCATGTTGTAGTTTACTCATTCAGAGTTCTGTATTTCATTCAGGATTAATACACATAGATCCATTTTGTAATAATTTAGCTGTAATTACAATCACAATTATATGAAATGTTATTTGTAAGTTGTTTATTGTAATCTTCAAAATTGAGAAACAATTTGAGAGGAAGAATTGCTAGATCAGTTGAAAATGGCTCATCTCAACAAGATTTTTGCAGACTACTAATTCACTGGAATATTTCAACTTTAAATATGTACATACGCCGGCTTATTAAACTGTGTCGACAACATGAGCGTAAATCCATAAGATCTAAGTAAACAGACACACTTACTCCAGAACTACACTGTATATCCTTAATAGTACATCACTGTGTCCAAAAACAAATGAATGTCTTGGGACAGACTACAAATATGTGCTTCTCTAGGTGGATGAACTTTACTTATTTACAACCACTTTCATACAAACACTGAGGGTGCATTCACACTCACATTGACCCAATTCTATTTCACTTTGTGGATATGTTTGTGGATATTTTCGAAACCACCAAAACAGGCGTGCACTGGTCCAGTAGTACACCCTGAGATCCACCAGTAATGTCATACTCAAGTGTCATGTCAGGTTTATGTGACATTGAGAGCTTGACATCTTGAATGAGTTGTCGACAGATTATTGAGCAGATTCCCCACAACTACATTTCAAGGGACACTCCTTCTGTCAGCAGGTATGAAAAAAGGGCAACAGCGGCACAATAAGCAGCACAATAAGCAGCTAATAATATATAGTCAGTGCAATGATCCAGCTGCTTTTTTTAATACACTTTTTTCCACACAAAACACTGGAGGAGCCAACAGTCCAAGGTGCAGCGGCGGCATGAGTTTCTGTAACCACGGCATATACTCTCCATCATGTGCGCTCAAACAATCAGTATCTTCTGTGAGCCGCATTTATTATGTAAGCCCGATCTTTTTTGCATCCAAAGAAAGTCTGAACAATGAGGCTCGTCTGAACAGTGGCCAACAGAGATGCTTTTAAGAACGACTCAACGCGGCTTATTCATTCAGAAACAACTATATGCCATTGATAAAACAGCTGCAGCTCAAGGAATGATCAGTCAGTTTACATGCAGTCCGCAAGAGTCCAATTAAACTGCTGCTAATAAGTGTGTACAAAGGCACTGACTCTATTAATTCAACGGGATAGCATAGTCTGCTGTTGACGTACTGAAGTTCCTGCTATGTAAGGTAATGGGAATTTATCTTGACAATGACACCTGCATTAAGTATTCATGGATTAAACAGGGGCATGTATTTGTAGCTGGGGTTCATGAACTCAAATCACACACTAATTATACCAATTCCCAATATCTGCTCCATTACAGTTTAAGAGAGAGGGTGGCACATATGATGATACAATAACTGCATAATAAAAAAGTCTATGATCAATGTACAACAAAACAGTGAGTAAGTGACAGAGGAGCATAGTACTTCAATACCGGTATCAGTGCACCCCTAATTAAAACTATGGGGAGCTGTCTTTAGTCTTCTCAATGATGATTTAATTCTCACATGTAGAAAACGATCTTAGTAATGCGTTTTCAGACGTAAGTATTTGCTCTAAAAGCTGGCATAAAAGATGAAAAAAGCAAAGTTTGTGCAAATCCTCAGACATGAATGCCTTAACTAATGCATAACCAGGCTCCGAGCAGCAGTCGAGTCAGCAGTACATGTTAACGGAGTGCGTTAGCCTCACATTGTTTAATTGGCAACTTTAGCCGACTCTTTATCCGCCTATAACGAGCAGTGGTATAGTTTAATTAACCACTATAAGCGCGGCACCATTAACCGCAAAACAACAAATCATTACGAGAGCAGCGTCTAATTTGTCTGACTCTCTGCGATCTCAAAGTGTTTTCATCTCCCACCTGTTCTAGCGATTTCCTGTGATCTAAAGCATGTAATGATGATCTACACATGCTCAACAACAGAGTGGTATTGTTTAAAAGTGAAACCAGCTCACTGCACATGGCTCTCATGGCAACAAATGACACGAAGGACGGATGCAACAGCCTAGAGGCACAACACAACTGCAGATCTGGCAAACAGCTCATAACCAACGGTCCCCAATGGAAACAGCAACAAATGATTGTCACGGCTTTCAGTACATTCAACACGTTTTTTTTCACAGCACAAGAAACAATAACATAGCAGTAGTTGATTGCGAGAACGCCGCGGAACAGTACATATCGCTCATCTTGGCATGTAAATCCAATAACAAAGCATTCAATCAAAAATTACACTTGTCAAATGTAGTTCGCGAATACAGCTCAACCCCCCAGACAGTAAATACAATATCATGCTTATCTAATTGAATGTAAAACTTTGGCCAGCCTCCAAAACACTAGATCATCAAAAGAATCAGATGTTTATCAATACATTCATAAACAGGGGAAATTGGGACATTCCTGAAGCAGTTCCAGAACCAGAATAAAGCCTTGTGGCCACAGAAAAAATGCTACAAGTTTGATGTATTATTTTATGTTCAAAATTACAGTTTAAGCAATGGAATTTGAAAAAGACTTGCGAGCAAAACTTATTCCTGAAGAAACCTTGTTCTGCCAGGGACTCACAAGATTACTGTCCAAAACAAATGATTGGTATGAGTATCAGTATCAGTAAGTGTTGAAATGAAAGAGTTCAAAATGTTATATTAGTTTCATTGTACTCGACTATATAAATTCCATTACAAAGCAATAACGACAAACAACAATGTTATAACACTTATAGTCACATACCTTCATCTTTCTATGAGTCCTCTAGGTGTCCAGTGCCTCGAATCTGTATGGAGGGGATAAAAGAAAGCAAAAAGGGTAAAGTTAGGAGGATTAGTCGAGTCTGCCACAACAAGAGACAGGTTATATTAAGATGACATCACTTTTTCAGCTACAGTGCTCAATGCTCTGGGGCGGCAGGCAGGCGCAAGCTCGCACTCCAACACCGCTCTTTCTGTTCTGCACAACATTCCCACACTATGCACATGCTGATCCTCCCCGAGCCTTTTGGAATAGTCGAATAAACTCTTGTTATAGATGCATATTACAAGATCTTTTTCCTCAAGCGAGTGCATGCAGCCACCATTTGGCACAATGAGTTTCAAGAGACAGATTCCCCATAAATACTCATGTTGTTGCAAATAAGTAAAGCGTGGCACCTTCCATCGCAGAGCCCTAAAGCCGTTTATGTAATGTCCGATGTACTGTGCAAAAGAAGCCAGTCTCTCTCCCCGATCAACCGAACAGAAAAATGTGACAAGTGGACCCACGGATCGTTCATGATCCACGGGAGGCAAGACAAAGCTCAGGACGGCCAGGACACGGGGGAGGACAGGAGTGTGGCAGTGGGTCCTGTCGCGCTGCACACTACAGCAAAGGATGACGCCATTTCTGTATCTGACAGTGAGCTAAAAACGACATCAGCTCGATACAAAGCTTTCCAAAGAGCTTCAAAACTCTCTTGGTCATTCATTCACCTGCCCGGGGTCGAGGCATGGAGAAAACAGCAGTCTTTTTTTCTCTCCTCGCTTGTCCCCTACGTCTCGCCTCGCTGCTCTCTGCGGAGTGCCCTGACTCGACAGCGAAAATAAGCGATACAAAACAGTGCTTATCTACGATTTATGGGTAGCCACTAAACGATCAGACGTATTAAAATGTCATGGGGGCAGCGTGTCGTAGTAATAAAGTAGGAACAAGCGGCGCAACCTCATTAAAAGTCACTTTCTCTCAATACAAAATGTTCCCTCTTTACGCACGGGGCTCTCTCTGGGTTTTCGCTGACTGCTCACGGAGAGAGCTTTGCCTTGCCCGCTGCTTTCTCTCTGACAAAGAAACACGGCGTCGAAACGCAACACAACAAGGTCAAACAAGCAGCACACAACACCCGTAACTCGACTACACGGCATTAGTACAAGCATTTATTGTTCAAACAAAAGACAAGGTCGGAGTGAGCCCTTTCTGGTGAGATCGCAGCGCTGGTGGTGGTGGTGGTGGAGTGCATGGTGGAGAGTCACCAAATCAACCCGCCCCAGACCATTTCTAGAGTGAATGACTGACCACCAGCAACAATACTATCAGCCACACGATTCGCTTCATCACCTGCACACACGGATTGAATAAATCCGTAAGCTTAGGTGTCCATTTCTTGCCATTAAATGTGACATCGACCGAGCACCAAGTCACGGAAATGGACAAAAACACGCCAGTCACGCTTACATTGCTTTGGGAAACACCAATCTGGCTTCGCAACGGGATGAAATACTTCATACAGCATTTATGGGTGTATAATACGTCTTGATCGTATGCGCGTATCGCCCACAAGCGGACAGTGATCCAAGGGGGCGACCCATCATGACCAGCCCACAGCCCAGATAGCGACTAAAGGGCACAAAAGAAAAGCCTGACAACGCAGTTTACCTGTTAACTACACGGATCGATTGCTTTCACTCGCATCTGTTCGGTAATCCAAGCAAATGCGGTCGAAAATCCTCCCGAAATGTCACTTTTTGTCAAGTATCCACGCACCACAGCTGCTCGACGGTCGCTTTTGCAAAAGATTCCTCCGCTGCTGCTCCAACAACAACACCACCACACAGTGCAAGGCGTCAAAACTATCAGGTAGCCCCTTCACCGAGGCATTTCTTGTATCCGAGCCAAACCAACATTGTGCTTAAACTTTGCATTTGTGCGCCTTGGTTCGTCTCATTCATTCCTGAAAGCCCTTAACAAGTTGGCGACGTCAAGGTTGGCGAATGAGCAGCGAGTGGTGAAAATGAACCAAATAGCGACGCGTTCTGCAAAGGGAATTGCTCTTACCTTGGCTGTCAGATTGAAAAATACTCCTATTCTTCGATAAAAGAGAAGTAGTAATCCATAGGAACATTTATGTAAGAAATCCGACCGGGTTTTGCGTCGTTTGGGTGCCCCTAGTTGATGTTGGATGCGGATGGGTAAAAGTCGTTTTCGCAGGGCTCTTGTTGAGTTGCTTCTCCAGTGATCTTTTCCCCGCCTCATCCAGATGATTGACAGGTACAATAAACCCGCCTACTTCCGTGTATTGGTGTCCTATTGGTTGGAAGGGGGGACAAAGATGCCATAACATGACATGATTTGCTGCCACTGTGAAAAATATGTGTGGGGAGGCGTACAGAGGCGCGCCATTGGTCAGTTTACGCCAGTGTGATGGATGTGAAGCTTGAGAGATGATCGCAATGGTTGCAGGCGGCCATGTTGTGACTGTATCACAGAGCTAGATATTAAACATTCACTCTATGATAAGATAAACTTTATTGATCTCACAATGGAGAAATGTACATGTCATGTTTGGCCTAGATAGAATCATTCAAGGTGTGCAAAAAGACAGGAAGTGTGCATGATATTTAGTAACAATTTAGGTTCATTTTATGATTGCAATGAAGATGATTAAACATATACCTATACATATAGCAAGATAATACATTGCACAATCAAATGGAATAGCTAATGAAAATAACTAAAATGAAGAAAAATGTACAACACCTATTATGTTATAAAGAAGTGGTGATAAGATAAGATATACTTTATTGATCTCACAAAGGAGAAATTTACATGTCACATCTGGCATGGATAGAAACACTCAAGATTGTGCAAAAAGAAAGAAATGTGCAAACAAGTGGCAAATTAAAAAGTGGCAATCAAGAAACAGTGTCGATAGTAGTGCAGGGTTTTTTTTTCAGTCTTAATGCAGTGACTTAAAGTTACTTGTGATGAGCATGTTACTATTTTTACAATTAAACCAAAAATGTAGGATGAACATCCATCCATTCTCTTCCGCGTTATCCGTTGCAGGACACGTCGGCAGTAGAAGAGACCCAGATTTCTCTATCCATACACACTTTCTCCAGCTTATCTGGGGGTAACCTGTGGTGTTCCCAGGCCAGAGTGTCCCTACAGCGTGTCCTGGGTCTTCCCCAAGGTCTCCTCCCGGCGGGGCATGCCCTGAACGTCTGTCCACTGGCGATGTATCCAGGTAGAATCGAAAACAGATGCCTCAACTAGCTCCTTTCAACATGAAGGAGCAGGGGCTCTCATTCGAGCTCCCGTACCTTTATTTTCATGATAAATGATAATATTACCAGTCAAAGGATATTATAAGGAGAGCAAATATGGCATGATGTCATTTTAAACGTATGGCCAAGACATTTTGCACCACTATATATTTTTGAATGTTTTTCTTTGTACAATCACAAGATGGCGACTGAACGCACTATTGCAAAATTCTTCAGAGTCATTCTAGCTGTTAATATACCACAATGCATTTACGCTTAAGAAAGGCCAGAACACCAAAAACTACAACTCCCAGCGGTGATTATTCATGTGTATGCTCGATTTATCACCAAGACAGCCCGTTCCATTTTGTCATATTACATTTGTGCGAGAAGGCTACCCGCACGATGGAAGGGGTGAATAAATCAAAGCATCTTGAATGAGTGACATCGCCCAAATTGAAGCTCCATTGTGCGCATGCGTGTGGAATGGATACCTCATATGCAGTTAGCATAAAAGCTAGCGTGCTTCAGCAGTGTGCACCAGCGAAAGAGGATGTAGCGTGGCCTGGGTTAGCGTTTTCTAGGCGTTTTTGTACACAATTAAAACTAACGATTACACGGTGACATAACGTGGATTTTTGGATTCATTTTAAAGGCGAAGTGCTGTCTTTTTGAATGGGATTAAATGCCATGTGGCGATGTGCGGCGGCCATTTGTGATGTCTCATGCTAGTTAGCAGCCGTGGCTAACGCAACCAGCGGCTGACAGCAGCTGACAGGACAGGTGGGTGGAGTCAAGTTTCCCAAACATGGAACAACTATACAGCTTTTTCCTCAAACTATCTAAAAGGTTGCGATTGTATTTACCCCCTATTTGGTTTTTTTTCACCAAATAGGGGGTAAATACAATAAGTATGTATGATTAAATACCCCCTATTTTATCATACATGCATTTCACAGAAGCTTTCCTCAACTTGTGAAGCTAATGCATGTTTTTTCTTGGATGTCGAGATGAATGGTTGACGAATTGTTTGAGTAATAAAGTGGTAAAAGTAATACATAATTTTATTCTGCCACTTTTTTGTTGCAGTTTTATTTTTTTTTATTTTTGCAGTGATCAATCATTGCATTCAGTATTATGTCAAATGTTTTCTAAGGCAACATATCAGAAGCTGTATTGTTGTAACTTGCTTAAACACTGCTCCTTTAGTGGTCCCTGTTCGGCCACTGGTGACTCATCTGTAATGCAATTATTGTAACTGAAGCAGTCATGTGATCAGTGTGTCACTATGCACTTAGGGATTTCACAGTTCTGCACACACAGCAGACTGCACCACAAAACTATTTCATGTGACCTTCTGCTTTTCTCTACACTTACAGCTATATTTAAATTTGCAGACTGCAGTTATTATTGTGCAAGCCATTGTTGCCCAATTGGTGCTCATCTCTGAGATATTGTTCACATGTGTTAGAATATTTTCTAGTCTGTTAGGACCTGAGATATCTAGTGTTGTAGCAAAACATTACTTAGACTTTGACTTTAACTTGTTTAGAGATTTTGTGACACTTTGAAGAAACTGTGGTTAAAGTTCTAACTCATCATTCTAACAATATGCACAAGCCAGTACTTTACCAGTACTTTTGATTTCTGAAGGCCCAGCTACTCTCACTGTGGCAAATGCTGATTTCCTCCATGCTGTATAATATCACTTGCAGTCTGTAATATCTTTGTTCGTGTTTGTGCTGTCGCTACCAACGACAATGTCTTCTGTCTGAATTCAACACTCGATCCCAGACTTTGACATTTTCTTCCATCCATCCATCCATTTTCTACCCTTTAATCCATTTCTGGGTCAGGGGGGTGACAGTCAGAGATGCCACCCAAGTCTCATAGCACCAGCCCCTCACTGACCCTCTGCAGGTGGTGAGTCCACAGGAGGACGGCTGCTCTCTGAGTGTGAGCATAGCCTTGATCTTTCAGTGGGGGCTTTTGGCAAAGTGGGGTTAAGTGTCTTGCCCAAGGACACAACGACAGCAGTCATCAGTGGGAGTCGGTGGAGAAGGTGCAGAGGTGGGAATTGAACCCACGACCTTCTGGGCTTAAGGCCAATGCTCTACCAATTCTTCACTTGATCAAATGAAGGTGGCATGGTGGCTGAGTGGATACCACTCTCGCCTCTCAGCAAGAAGGTCCTGGGTTCGAATCCTGGTCGGACCAGGGCCTTTCTAAGTGGAGTTTGCATGTTCTCCCCATGTCTGCGTAGGTTTCCTCCGGGTACTCCGGTTTCTCCTACCACTAAAAAAAAAGTACAATAGGTCTGGCATGCGCCTCCTGTTCGGCGACCCCGCTCCCATCTCTGTGTGGAGTGAGAGGACAAGTGCCCAAAAATAACAATTGTAAACCGTGACTCTGGTCTGTGAAAGGCTGAATATAAATAAAGATTACTTACTTACTTATGTGTTCCTCAATTAAAGCTGAGGTACCTAACTTTAAAGAAATTAGTGAAGACCTCATGCTAAAACATGCTGTCTTCATCTTTTGGATATTTCTTATTTGAAAACATTTTCTTATTAAAGAGCCATGTCCTTCTGTTTGATGCTTTGGGCTGAGACTGAGTGAGAGTGGTCCTCTCATTTATACTTTTCTGACTGAAGCCAAAACATACGATAAGGTATATAATGTATGATAGGACTGTTTTGAACTTTAGAAAGCAAGGTCCTCTATTGACTGCATACGTCGAGGTTTGTATGTTATTAACGAGTATTTTGATAATCTAGTTGGAGTGTGCTTGACCTCTTATTACAAAATTCCCTGATAGTTAATGTATAATTTGTTTTTTATTGCTTTGTTTAAAAAAAAACAAAAAAACTAGTAACAAATGAGCTCTCGTGAGATGCTACTTTTATTCTAGTTTTCTTCCCAGTATGTTTGTTAATATAACATTCAACCATCTATTTCAATAATCGACTAGTTATACAATTCATTGATTTAACTTGTTACAGCCTTACATATTTCTATTTTGTGGTGTTTTGAAATGTGGTTCCCCAGCTTAAATATCTAATTTGATTCTTGTTTGTTAGTATTTTTATTTTACTGCTTCAGTTTATTGAAAGACGACTACTGGTTTAAATGGTCTTTTGTGGTGGTCTTTGGAGCATGTGGGAGGGGGTGTGGTCAGTCTGAGGTACTTGTCAGGTCAGTCAGACTGGCCACACCTATTCAGGATGTAACATCAACTGATGAATGACGCATCACCAAGCAGGGAAGAGTCAGATCTGCTGCCAAAACATGTGAACAAGGTAATAGATCTGAATAAGTAGCTGTCTTTCAATAAGAAGTCATAAGTAGACCAAATTAACATTCTTGTTTTAGGTCAGGATGAAGTTTTTTTGCAAATAGTTTATCGCTGCAGTGGTTTTTGTATCCACACAATAATATATAAAATCGCAAATCTAATTGCACAGTTTGTCAGAAAACTACTGTGTATGTGAAGGGTCTAATCTTGTGTAACTGCCCGTGTATTTGCCTATAGCTTTCACTGGTAACGTTTTTCCTATTTGTGTCTTGAAAAAGGTGTGAATGAACTGCAGAAAAATGGACAGAAACTCTGAAGCAGCGTCAGAGCGGATTCTCTTGGAGCCGTACAAATACCTGCTACAGCTCCCTGGTACGTCATACTGGTTTTCGCAATACTGCTTGTTATTGATGAGTTGGTTTAAAGTTTTACTTTCCATAGACTGAATAAAACTATGTAATAAGTTTAATGATAAAACAGACGGCTAACTGTTTTTATTATAAAAGGACCTGACACAATAATATTGTATCCCTTTATAACGGAAAGCATAGATGGTTTAACTTCTGTGAAGTTCCGCTGCAGTAAAATAATTGGAGTTATAAGTTCAGTAGTGAAGCTATCACAAAACACGGATAACTTTTTCAACAAAAGCTGTGTTTTTGGCTTAATTATGTAGCACACGGTTTTTGATCATTCATACTAAATTAGACACCAGAATCTCTAATTACAGTTTGTTTGGGCTAATAATACGCACTGTTCTGCATTTGTCAAAAACATAAGGTCTTGCTGAATTCACACTGTGTCTGCGTCAGTTTAATTACATGGTTTAAAATGAGACAATGGGAGCGAGATCCATATATATAATTACTGAACGCATTTATTGAGTTGTCATTGAGCACATTAGCTGTTGAGAAATATTAATGTCTTTAGTTTTGATTGGTCAATTTCATCCATTGTAAATTTAATCTTGGCTTTTGGGTAAATGGTACAAGCCCAGGGGGTGGTTTTTCTGCTTAAATGGACTTAATTGGAAAGGCTTGCTTGATAAGTTTCTCACTGGTTTCTGTGTGTCAAAACAAGTTAGGTTTTTTGGTCTTTAGCTGAAGAATGAATCTTAATTCAGAATATTTTCTCTATATCAATAGAAAATATGGGAACTAATTACTAAAAGCTGATTCAGTTGAAAAGTCCCTGTACCAAATAAAGCCCCAAAGTTTTTTTTGGAGTTTATCAATTATTTATTTTTGTTTAACATAAGGGAATGATAGGGGGAACAAACAGGAATATCTGCAAACCAATCAACGCCAAATGAGGCAATTGTGTTTTGACGGACAAAAATTCTGCATATTTATCTTCTTTTTTTTTTTTTATGTTCGCCCCCATCAAAAGTTCTATCTGCTTGCGAAGGCAGCTCTAATACGTTCAGATGAGTTTAGGGCCGTTTGTTTTCGGCCTCGTTGGACTTGCAAAGTAGTTGTATGCCGCACTCTCAGTCTCCGCAGCAGTGAAGATGATTACAGTCTCACTTACCTATTATTATCTTGACTAAAATTTCTGCGATAAGACACACTGTAAGGGAGAAAATTATATATTTGTTGCCGCATTGGTTTGGCTATGAGCATTTAGCTTGCACCACCCACCATCTGTGTTAATATGCTTTTTGAAATCGTACTAATCATTGCCAATTGAGGCCATAATATCCCCTTTATTAAAACTGATGGAGCCATTAAAGGTTGGTTGTTGGCTGTCTGCATCAATTTCACATATTAAAATATTAAAAAGTTTTTTGTTGTTGTTTTCAGGCAAGCAGGTGCGGACTAAGCTCTCCCAAGCATTCAACCACTGGCTCCAAGTACCAGAGGACAAATTACAGGTGAGAAGTGAACCCGGCTAAAAAGCGGTGTGTTCAGAGTTTGTAGTCTCTTTCAGAAGAAGCAATTTATTCAGTAATGTAACCTGGATGTCTTGTCTGAGCGGGCTCTTTTCTCTGAATGTAAATGAGAGTATTGGCTGTGCAGTTGGGAGGCTATTAATGGGGAAGAAAAGTGACGGGGAAACTATATGAAATACGACGATCCTGCAGATTAAATTGTGTTTTCTGTTTGCCCAAGTTTTGTGAAGAGCTAAACGAAAAGCCGTGTAGGAAAAAAAAGCCAGATATAAATACTGATTGTTGTGCATTGTACATGTTTGAACCATTGGGTTTTTGTGGGCGGCTGAGTGGATAGCACTCTCGCTTCTCTGCAAGAAGGTCCTGGGTTCCTATCCCAGTCGGAACAGGGCGTTTCTGAGTGGAGTTTGCATGTTCTCCCTGTGTCTGCGTAGGTTTCCTCCAGGTGCTCCAGTTTCCCCTGCCTCTAAAAACATGCACAATGGGTGTGAATGTAATGAGTAAGTGAATGGTTGGTGTTGATTGGGGGCTTGATGCATCAGTGTGTTCGGCAACTCGCTTCCATCATCACTGTGTGTGGAGTGATTGCAACAATATCTGAACATAGTAAAGCGCTTTGGGTGACCTTGGTCTGTGAAATGGTCTACATAAATAAACATTATTTACTTACACAACAACTATTGTAAAGCATAGAAAAGAAAACTTTTTGTCTTTATGCAGTAACAAAGGTAGATGATATAGTTTTAAATACAACTGTTTGAGGGTGGATGAGGGCTGGTATTCCATTGGTCACATCTTTTAGATCAGATTTTTCACTGAAAATAAATGATTTGACACAGACCAAAAATACATGTGTGAAAAATAGTAATCGAACCAAAGAGTGTTGAGCGCTTGCAACTAGTTACATGAATTTTATAACATGGTTATTTTGTTGTGGTTTCAAATGCAGGGACGTGCAGTCAGGGGAGGCAGGGGAGGCAGAGCCTCACCTGCCATTATTGGAAACTAATAATTATTTTAGTTTAAATATATAATTTATATCCACTGTCCTATGCTTTTAATGTATATTCGGCACGGTTCCCATCAGTTTTGATCATTTCTGAAGTCAAAATCGCCGAAATCCCGTTATTCCTATTCAAAGAGACGAGGTGAGGCAGCGCTCCTGCGTGCCTCACCCCAGACCGCTCCCTCACAGTGTGTGTGTGTGTGTCTGAGTGCACTCAGCTCGTGCAGTTGATATATCACCGTTTGTTTCAAATATCCTGCTTTAAAAACATTTTTTAAACTCCTCTTAGTGTTTAGTAGTGTATTGCACGTATGTGTGTACAATTTATATTTAGTTTAAGTCTTTTGATCGTAGATGAACACACAAGGAAAAAGCTTGGCGTGAGGCAGGCGGTATCTGTGCCTCACCGCTAGGGGTGATAGTGAGCATAAAGTTCATACCAGAGTTGCTAACAAACAATCAGCCCAAAATGCTATTTCTTTTGCTGGAAAATGGATGATTTGAATGAAGATTTTTTTTCTCAATTGGACTTTCAAACAAAGAAAGAATTAATATAGACTGGGAGACCACCACTGGACTTACGAGGTTAGTCCGGCTGCGGGGGAGGAGTTTGTTAATCTGTGTTTTATGTTGAACATTGACAGATACCGGCAAAGTAGTGCTTTTCCGAAAAACACTGATTCAAACACTGCTCAAGAGTTCTGCAACTTGTTTAAATTATTGTTTATGTTCCTCGCGTCTCTCTCTCCTCGCGTCTCTCTCTCCTCGCGTCTCCGTCTCTCTCTGCTCCTCGCGTCTCCGTCTCTCTGCTCCTCTCTGTCTCTCTCTGCTCCTCGCGTCTCCGTCTCTCTGCTCCTCTCTGTCTCTCTCTGCTCCTCTCTCCTCGCGTCTCTCTCTCCTCGCGTCTCTCGCACCTGCGCTTCTTAAAGATGTTGTTTGATGCGGAGCAGAGTCAGCAGCTAGATTTGTTGTGAGATTATTAAAAGAAGCTGGTTCTCTTATCTTTACAGTATATAAAGTTTGTGGATGTCATTGCATTGGTGATTAAATGCTATTTTATTTGAATAATGATTGTAAATCTGACTTTTAAAGTCAGTGCCTCCCCAATCACAAACCTCACCGCACGTCTCTGTTCAAATGAGTTTCTCCAGCTTTTACAAATTAACGATGGCAGCTCAAATGCAGATGATACAAAACAGAAAAATGAAATGCATTTGCACAATTTGAGTTAAATTAGTTCAGTAACCTTCCGTTTTCACACTATGTAGAGATAAGTAGAGTATGCTCTTACAACCTTCTGCCTGACTTGTGTTTACTATGCTCCCAAGTCATTTTCACACATTTCACTCCTCTTCCCAGAGAGAAGTGTGTCTAAATGCGTGATATGCTTTAATTTCTCACTCTGTGCAGTTTTCTCCAGTGAAGGATGAAAGTGCACTGCTCTGGATTTGTGTCACTCACTCACTTGGTCCACGTTCCGTTTGACTTCACCCCCAATTTTATTTCATTGGAAAAGCAGGAACTGACTGATCACATTATAACCGTGACCTTCAGGAAGATGGTTTCAAGCAAACTCCAATTTGCAGAATGAGAGTGACTGATTACTTGTCTACGGAGATACAACATTTTGCTATCGAGTATAAATGAGCTCAACAGTTCTACCCACTTTACCATTGGCTTTTAAAAATGATCCGAGTAGAGCCAGGTGATGTAGGAACCAGTTCATTGCTGATTATTTTCACATTTGACATTTGAGAAATTTATTCTCTCAAGCTCTCAAAGCTCAAGTGATGCCCCTGGAGAACATGCATATAGATGACTAGATGTGCATTGGTTTGTTGAATTTTAAGTATACTTTGCAGACTTAGAAAAATCTATGATGACTGTTGATGAAGACTTCTTGGCATGCTTAAGCCCATGTATGGTTGAAAGATACATTGAATACTAAATAAGTGGACTATTTCAATAACAAGCGTGTGGTGGATGCTACGGGGCTGACCACCCAGGAATGAGGGGCATGGGGGTATATAAGCGTAAACCATTTTGTTTTGAGTCAGTTGGCTTGTGAATAAAAAGATACTCTCAAGACTTACAGTTTCTTCCTTCACGCGTCATTGGTGACCATCGATTTGTGACATGTCAGAGCCGGAGGTAGTAGTTGTGTCTTCCACACCGGGCCCAGCGAGCTCGTCTATGCCGCTGTCAGCGCCTGTACCGCCAGCCCCTCTCGCCGCGGCCCCTTTGGTGAAGCTACCGGAGTTCTGGCACGGCGACCCGGCTTAATGGTTCCAGCACGTGGAGGCGCTTTTCCCATCTACGTGGTTTGGACGCAGATGAGTCCAGATATTATTTTGTCGTTGCAGCTCTGGACGAGCGATCTACACGGAGGGTTATGCCGCTGCTATGCGCGCCTCCTATCCAGGGCAAGTACGCGGCTCTCAAAGCGCTCCTGCTGCTGAGGTTCACCCTCTCTGCTTCGGAGAGGGCGGATAAACTTCTGACTATGCCCGGATTGGGAGACGGTTCTGCTGTTGACCTCATGGACGCAATGTTGTCGCTTCTTGGAGCTGAGGAGGGCGGCTTTCTGTTCCCACACGTGTTTTTGAGGCAGCTACCTCAGCACGTGTGGGCAGCTCTCGCCAGCTCTCACCAACTCTCCCTGTCTGCTCGCTGGTGATCTGCGCGGACTCGCTGAAGAGGTAGACAGGGTCCTGTTATCTGTCAGACGGTTCATGGTGCAGAGTGTGACCATGGAGCCTCGGCAGGTGACGTCAGAGGAGCCGGTGGTGGGTTCAGCGGTCAGTGCGCAGAGGCGTCATGGTTCCCTCTGTTCCTACCACAAGAAGTTTGGCAACAAGGCGAGGCGCTGTGTTCCCCCATGCTTGTTCGGGACGGCCGGAAATGCAGCGGCCAGTGCTCAGTAGCAGCTGTGGGTACGGGTCAAGAAGGTGAGCTGCTTTTTGTTAATGACCCTCGTTCCGGACGCCGGTTTCTGAAAGACTCAGGCTCTCAGAAGAGCTTGGTTCCTCCTGCTGGCTCGGATGCATCGCGCCACGGAGAAGGTCCTCCGCTAAAGGCAGCAAATGGCTCTCCGATTGGGACTTTTGGGACTAGACATACAACTGTTTGTTTTTGCGGGCGTGCATTCGACACGGACTTTATAGTTGTACTATGTGACTGTTCCAATCATCGGCGCTGATTTTTTGTGTGCTCATCGTTTGTTGGTGGATGTCGCTAACCGCACACTCATAGATGCTGAGACTTTTGCAACTTATTCATGTGAGGCTGGGGGGTCAGGGCATTTGTCACATACTTTTCATTTGGCGTCTAACAATGTTTTTCAGTGTTTGATGGCTGAATACCCGTCCTTGTCCACTCCTTCTTTTTCCGCTGCAGTAGCCAAACACTGAGTGGAGCATTTCATCCCCACGAGCGGTCCTCCTGAATTCTCACGCGCACCTCAACACAGTAAAGTTAGCCATTGCTAAGGCGGAGTTTACGACCATGGAGCGTTTAGGGATAGTGAGGCACTCCAACAGCCCGTGGGCACCGCCCCTTCACATGGTACCTAAAGCGGCGCCCTTGTGGTGACTTTAGGCGATTTAAATAATGTGACCACTCCTGACCGTTACCTTATTCTGCATATCCAGGATTTCTATGCTCGGTTGTCTGGTGCGTGGCTGGACCTGGTGCGTGGCTATCGACAAGGCTAAGGCTTTTGACAAGGCTAAGTCTGCATTAGCTGATGCAGCTCTTCTTGCTCATCCCGACCCTGATGCCCCCATTGCTCTGACAACCGACGCTTCAGACTTGGCAGTTGGAGCTGTGGTGGAGCAGCAGGTGTATGGAGCTTGGCAGCCACTGGCGTTTTTCCGCCGTAAGTTGCGGGATTGCGAGCGTAAGTACAGCGTTTTTGACCGCAAGTTGTTATCGTCGTTTTTGGCTGCTCGGCATTTTCGTTTTTTTTGTTGGAGGGTTGTCCCATCACGATGTCTGTGGATCATAAACTGCTGACGTTTGCCATGGCTAAGGTGACCGAACCTTGGTCGGCGCAGCAACAGCGTCATCTGGAGGCTGTCTCTGAGTTCACAACAGACATACGTCATGTTGCTAGAAAGTCCAACACCGTCGCGTCTTGGTTTGCCCCGTTCTTGGACAGATTTCCCCGCTATGGCCGCTGAACAGCCTGGCTAGGCGGATATCATTGCCCTTTGCTCTGTCTGTTCGGGTCTCAGGCTCGAGGAGAGAACGCTTGTGGGGGGCCCGTAGCTCCTGTGTGACGTTTCAACAGGGTGGCCGCGCCCAGTGGTCCCCGCGGGTTGGCGGCGCCACGTTTTTGTTTCTGTGCACTCCCTCTCTCACCCGGGGGTGCGAGCATCGGTTAAGCTGGTCAGTAGCCGTTTTGTTTGGCCTGGTTTACGTAAGGATGTTCGAGGTTGGGCAGCTTCTTGTGTTGCTTGTCAACAGGCGAAGGTGCACCGGCATACTAAAGCCCCTCTCGAACCTGTTCCGATTCGGGCTTGACGTTTCGACCATGTGCACATTGATCTGGTTGGCCCCCTTCCACCATCACGAGGTTTCACACACCTCCTCACTATGGTGTGGATTGTACTACCAGGTGGCCCAAGGTTGTTCCACTGTCCTCCACTACTTCTGCTGATGTGGTTGGTGGATTTCTTTCCACTTGGGTCGCCCGTTTTGGTTTGCCGTCAGACATTACTTCCGATAGGGGGCCCCAGTATGTTTCGGATCTTTGGTCGGGTATGGCGCGTTCCTTGAGGATACAGGTGCATTGTACTACGGCCTATCACCCTCAGGCTAATGGGCTATGTGAACTTTTCAATTGCACGCTCAAGGCAGCTTTGTGCGCTGCACTCGTGGATGATTGTTGGATGGATCGTCTGCCGTGGGTTTTACCTGGATGAGTCTTCTGCGGAGTTGGTGTTTGGTCAGCCACTTCGTGTCCCGGTGGAGTTTATGGTGGAGTCGGCCTCCCCGGGTCCCGGCCAGGCAATTGACCCGTTTTCCTCCGGCGACGTTTTAGCTCCTGCCCCTGTGCACCACTACATTCCGCATACATTTGTGCCGTCAGCGCTTCAGTCTGTTGACTTTGTTTTTGTGCGTCGTGATGCCCACCGCTCGCCCTTCCAGCCTCCATATGACGGCCTTTTCCGTGTGCTTGAGGGGTTCAAAGGGTTTTGTTTTGGATTTGGGAGGGTGTAGGGAGCTGGTGTCTGTGGACCGCCTGAAGCCTGCGTTTGTTTTGGCAGGTGAGACTGTGTTGCCGGCCCAAGTTCCTCGCCGCGGTCGTCCACCTTCCAGGCCCCCGGATCCTCCTCCTAGTGTTCCTCTGCCTCACATGGACTCTGTGTTGACTCTTAGTTGTTACGGCAGGCCTATTAGGCCCCCTTTGAGAGACTGAGGGTTGTTTTCCCATCTGGGTGTTCAGGGGGGGGGGGGCTGTGTGGTGGATGCTATGGGGCTGACCACCCAGGAATGAGGGGCATGGGGGTATATCAGTGTAAACCATTTTGTTTTTTAGTCAGTTGGCTTGTGAATAAAAAGATACTCTCAAGACTTAGTTTCTTCCTTCACGCCACAAGCGATTGTTTCAGCCCTTAATGATTTATTATTTCTTTATGCCACAAGGGTTAATTCAGGATTTGTGGTTTATGTCTCAGAAAGTTAATGCAAATAAAATCATAGGGGTTTTGGTCATTATTCACCTGCTGCTAATCCAAACCCTAATCCTTTCAAATGTGCTTTATGTAAACTGTATGTAGGAGAAAAGGGAATGGAACTAGAGCCGCACTTGAGGTTCATTGTCTACAGATAAAAACAATTTGAGGCAGGAGAAATGAGGATAAATGCCACATACAAAGTCGTTCATAGACTGTTTCACTTCCTTGAGCTGTGATTTGGCTTCAGCACAGTCACTCTATTAAAAGGAAGCAGCAGGAAATTGGTTCAGGGATGCATTCACCTACACGTTTATCTCAGGGGTGCAACGTGATGAGCGTCTCTCAGCATTGTCTTGTTAAAAACTGTAAATTACACAAAACACACTTGTTTTCTTGGCCACAGGCAGAAGGGAAGTCTGTTAAGCAATGGTTATATTGTCAAAGCCTGATCTTTGTCATAGGCGTTTTGTTGAACTCTCCAGTGGCTGCAGTTATTATGCAGGTCTAATGAGCAGCTTTGATGAATTGACTTTGAACACAGGGATGACTCTGCTAGCTCTCGCAACATTCCTGTCTGTAATAAATAACTGCAGGATTTCCACTGATCTTTTAAACGACGCACCCGTCTGTCCTCTCCGCATTTCTTTAGTGTTTATAATATATATAGTTTTCGGGCTAATCTCTGTTTTGAAGTTTTTGTACTGTTGTGGCCAATAACTGATATTTATCATCTCTATCTGATTTGATCATACTAATCACTACCCACCACATTACTCAACTTGTCTTGCTTGTATTTTTATAGTTTTACTTTTAACTATAGTTACAATAATTAGTTGATATTGTGATGAGTGGACTAATAAAACTAGAAATGAACCTTTGACTAGCCGACTACTAACCAATTGGTGGCAATACTTTAACATTTCATATGTTGAAGTAAAGACGAGACTTGTGCCTTGGGTACATTGAATGCAAGGTGACAGTTTGAGTGAGTAGATTGGCTGCAGGCTCAGATTATGTGAGATTACAGAAAGTGCTCTGAGAATGGAGTAAAAAATGTTGGTTTTAAATATTTTATAAGTTCAGCAAGTCTTGACCTGTATCCGAGTTGCAGCCAGTGTTTGCCTGACATTAACACAATTTCTAGTTCCATAGTGTCTGATTTCAGTTTTTCTCACACCAGATTGATTCCCTGCCCGCACCTCCTCTCCCCGACTCCTCTCTATAATCAGGTGTCTCCGGAGCATTCACACAGCCAGGGGTCACCGTCATTAACTGCTGCTGCTGCTGCTCTCCTCTTGTCTTTTCCATCTCCACTAATAGAAGTTTATTAACAAAATGCCCTATGCTTTGTTTTGGCCTGTCATTGGGCCCGTTGAATAAAGCGCACTGAATTGTATTGTTTTGCTTTCTATCCCAAGAAAACCGGTTTAATGTATGGTTTTAAAATGCTAATTTATCTGGGTGGTATTTTCTCGGAGCCACACAGTTTATTATTTCCAAATCCATTTTATGATATGACTTTCATTCTTTTTAATCCTGGGTTTTAAGATTACTCAAACAAATCATTTGCCGAGCTGTCACCACACTGCTGTTGTCCTTGGATAATTCCTTTATTAGATTGCCACGGACATATTGCATCACACATACAAACTGACAGCCTCTTTTTATAGTTGGGGAAAGCAGATTCACTTTGCTGACTGCACTGAGCAAGATGAGACTCTGATCCATTGACCTTTTTACACTGATGGTATTATTTGCGTTCGTCTTTTTTATGTTACTACAGCTGATTAGGTGTCCGAAAAGCCAGAAAAATGTACACTTACCCACGTTAAGTACACATTTCCTTCAGTATGTGAGTCATTTTGGTGTGAACACTAACAGCTATTGTCACAATCAATAATTCTGCATTTGAACAGGTTTGGTTTTGTTTTTTAGAACATGTGCCGAGTCTCCAGTGTTCTCTTCATCTTCAAGTGTGTAGTCATAAATCATAGTCTCTGGTGGAAGCTTGTTTTAACACTTCATAAAAATTGCTACCTCCTCCAGAATTGTAATAAAGATGACACTCTCTTCAGTGGAATAAACCCAATACTTTAAATCAAAACTGTCATGTCCGCTCTCTGCGCTTCTGTGATTGCCAGTTTAACTTAGTTTAGCCTGTACTTTATAGATTGCTAATTGCAGAGCTGATTCTAGCCTTTTTGCAGCCCTAAAGCTTTTGGGGCCCTCCTGCTTGAATGATTATGATTATACTCCCTCAGGTCTTGTTTTCATTTTTATGCTGTACTTCATATCTTACGGCTGTGTGTTTGAATCCTAGGGTGCATGACACCATTTGGTTATGTATATATTTTTTCACCTGGTCAAATTTAAGTGTGTCAGGGACGCGGACCCTGGGCAACACTGCACGGGGGATGTAATTGGGGTGATGTCAAAACCAGCCTTCTCCTGAGTTATGTTGTTTACATGTCCTACAGAATCCTACAGTAGGCGAGTGTGGCGAGAAACACAATTAAATGTTTGTTTAGTCAAACAAGGCACGTGTAGTATGTCTTTATTGGTCAAGTTGAAGTTGGCTGGATGACACTGAACTTTCTCTCAATGGCTACATTTGTGTTGAGTCACATGAAATGGCACGTTGACAGTGGTTAGCACTTTCACTTCTCGGCAAGAAGATCCTGGGTTCAAATCTTTGTCGGAACTGGGCATTTCTTAGTGGAGTATTTTTTTTACTTGAATGTAAATATATCAGATATAGCTATGTTAGGGACGAGCCCCGACTGGGATAAGGGCCTATTGCTTTCACAATGGTGAATGCAGGGGTCACTGTGTGTGATGGTTTGTACTAAACTTGACTCGGTTGTTCTACTCCCGGGCCTAGGTCACCTGAAGGTGTGAAATATTAAATTGGCTCTTTTGCGCCCCCTACAGACTGAGCCAAATTTCCACATGGGGAGCCTAACCAACTGATCATATTTACTAAAATTTCACGAACATTGTTCGACAGCTACGGGAGAAAATAATGGCGTGGCTGCGACTGCTCCTTACGGACACTGGAACTGTTGTTCCAGTGTCTGTATAGGTTTCCTCCAGGTACATTAGCCTCTCCTGCCTTCAAAAACGTAAAGCCTCCAGCTCTGGCCCTGACCCAGCTGTGCATCAACATCTGTAGATGGGCCCCTTTGCGCGGCACTGTGGTGACCACTGCTTCTAGCAGTTGCCCTATTGACATTGGAGGATGGATCAAATTTCCCAAGGACTAAAAAGTATACCTTAACCTTATTGACATAGGGGCTGTAAATGGCCCACACGCTTGAATCTGGACATGCACTAGCTAATCCGAGCCTCAAGTGAAGACTACGGGAGATGCCACACTTTCTATGTCCTCTCCTTCTGCAGTCTTGTGCTCCAAACCAGCTCTTAACAGGAGCAGCTCTGCTGCCTGTCCTTTTAGTTGCAGTGTGCAGGATTCATGTCTTTGATAGAAACGTTGGCAGCTTAAAGTATAGCACCCTCTATGCAAAATGACACTTTGATTATCTCCATGTTACAGGCTGCCACCATTGGAGACTGATGCACTGACATTTTAAATGGAGAGGGACGTGAGGCTCCTCGGGGCTAAAATCTAAAAAATCTCTTCAGATTTATCTTTGTGCTTCTTCTTGTCATTTAACACACTTCTTCTCATTGTGCAAACGGTTCTAAAATGAATGATAGAAAAAGTTGTTGTAATTCCTTTTTTTGACATTTGAAGCAAAGTTCTCACGCATCATTACTTTTGTACAATTGATGCCTCAAGGCAAACTCTCCAACCCCTGCGGTCTCTGTTCCACTGGCACCTGGAGTAAGTGCTTCAGTGATTCCTGTCGTACCTTTTATAGCTAAGCTGTACTTTCTGCTTGTCACATTACATGCAATATTGAACATTTTGTACAGAGGTTGTGGAAGTAGAAGAAAACGTTCTTACTCTACATTGTCATGGCACAATGCAGAAGTTTTATCCTTGGCTCATGGCTGTTACTGCTCCCTCACTCTCTCCTCTTTTCCCCTAAACTTGAGATGAACCGTCCTCTCTGAGAGCTTGAACATGCTGCTGCTAGGGACCCGCTGCCATGGAAACCCCCCTGGCTTCACATGGACCCAGCATCAGAGCCTCATTCACTGGTGCATTTTTCATGATATCCCACGTGCGCCTCAGCCTCCTCTGCTGTGAACTACGCCACATGTCTTTAGGAACCCCCAGCATCCGCTTTTTGGGACATTGTCTACTGCAATGTGCAATCTACCTTTGATCCTTACTGCCCGGAAGACTTATCTGGATCTTGTAATTGACAATTATTTTGATTGGTTTTGCAGTATCAATTCTGCAACTCATTTACCTTTTGTTTGCCACAACATCCCTATTAATTTTGTTATCAAGGCAATCAGAAGTGGTTAGACTTTCTCTTTAGAGAAGTGTGTTCCTTTAATTCCTCTTGACCACCTAGTGACCTCAGGCTTCTGGGTAGGATTAAGCCACTGTGTGTTTGGGTTTACAATGGC